CAGTGGGGGGACTCTTGGTGGTTTACAACAGATTAAAACAATAAATAAATACAGAGTTAAAATTTATTTTAAAAAAAAACATTTACACAAAGTAGAAGGAAGAGAAAAAATGAACTTCACTTCAAAAATGAACAAACTCATTGATGTTCTACAATACTATTTGTGACTTTGGATGCAAACTTTGTACTTGTTTTATAGGACATGGCTCCTAATTTTTCTTTTTGGCATTAGAGACCAGCATCCCAGGAGCTATTCAGACTGCTTGTCAAATATCTCTAGGGCTTTCAGTACAAAACCTCTAATGCTTCTTTCTGCTTCTTGCTGAAATCTTGAGACACCCAATCAAGACAGGTTCATCTGGTTTTGTTCTATTTTATTCAATGCTTTGATCTGAAGATCACACCAGTGAGAAAAACCTGAGAGCATCTGGATAAAGGTAGGCAGGAGTAGAATTGCTATCTTTAAGGTTTGCTGCAATTTCTGGTGTTTTAACTTTTATATAATGCCACCAACACTGTCTTACCTCTAAAGCCATAGCCAGCTTGATGGAAGTAGACAGAGAAGTATGCATGTGTTCAGGCAAGCACTTTAGCCTAGAGATAAGTAAAACAAGGTAGCCATGATTCTAACACAAGGACAACCTGGCATGAAAGATGAGAGGGAATAACGCTTGAACCTCTGCTTTTCTGTAGCCATGAGCAAGAGTCAACTGCTTTGGGGTTACCAGTTAATCAAAAACTTGTGGGTGGTGTGCGTCTGGATTTGCATGAAGATAAAAAAACCTGATCTGCATACATGTAGAGAACAGTAGATGGCTTTTTGTCATGTCTAGAGCAGGGGTTTTTAATTTTTTTGTGCCATGTATTTCTTTGAGAGAGTGGTGAATCCTATGGACCCTTTCTTGGAAAAATGTATTTAAATGTATAAAATAAAATACATAGATATCAATTGCATTACAAAGGAAACCAATTATCCTCAAATACAGTTATGGAAATATTAAAAGATAACAAATAATGTAATATAATGCCTTTCTTTATTAATCTATTAAATTAAAAACCAGATAATACTACACTGTACTATTTCTTTGGGTATAATTTTATGTAGTGAGATTTATTGAAGTCAACATACATTTTTGGAACTTGGCTGGACATTACTTCGTGCCTACAATAATTATTGAATGAAAAGCTGAATTTCAGTTAGAGGTTAGTGAAGATAAAAGTTGCCATTTTTTTTCCCATGGACCCCTTCAAATCTATCTATGGACCCTCAAGAGGTCTGGAGCCCCAGGTTAGGAATAGAGACAGACAAGTTTGTTCTGTGAGATGACTAGCCAAATACAAGGTAGAGAATGGGGCAAATAGGACACATTTGATTGTATAATCAACAGCAAATCCATAGTAGTTTGAGATAAAAGGCTTAAAAAAAAAAAAAGCTTTCAGGAACAACTCACTGCACTGAAGAATTATGTGTGGAACATTGGGTAGCTGTTACCTCCTTGAGGCAGTAACCATACATTGAAATCTTGTAACAAGCATTGATGTAAATTCAAGATTGTCTCCTTAAGAAAAGTTTGGAATATATGAAACAGCGATCTCAGTCAATGGGCCTTTCCCCACTACTGGGTCATGGTGCTCTCCAGCCATCCTGCACTCAGCAGAAGACAATACTAGCTGGAAACTGAGTGCTTTCATGGCTGATCCCTCTCCTGCCTCAATTGCTTCTGCAGTCCCCTGACTTCCCTCCAAGGCAACAGATGACAAAGCCTCAAGTTCTTACCCACCTTGAAGCTGCCCTTGGATGTTGTTGGAATAACAACCAAAACATCATTTTAGGCTTGGGCTAGCCAAGGAGAATTTAAGGAAGTCTAAATGGCTGTTGATAAGGAAGGGACCATCATGGGGACCCATCAGGAAACAAAGAAGATGTTGCATGTTTTTGCCATGGGTAGGAGCAATGGGGGAAAGCCCAAGGAGAGTTTCCAAGCAAGAACAGTGAGATGAGGAAACCCCAATCAGCTCTCACATCTCTTAAGGGAAGGATAAGGAGTAGCTTTTGGAAAGAGGTGCCATCTTTCTATGCCTTTGAAGAGATGTCCAGCAGACAACAATTCAGCAGGTGAAACTTCATACTCTTATCCTCCCCTCCCCCAACTTTCATCTCAAGGAAAGGTGCATCTGTGAGGGTTCTGTCTGGGATGCAACTGCTAAGGGCCTAGTTTGTGGAGCAAGACCTGGGGCATAAAAGGCAGCAGCTAGAGCAGGGTCTAGGTGATGGGAAAGAAAGATCGGGGCTCAGATCTGTGAGTGGTCCCCAACCAGAGGGATTGAATTGGAGTAGGTAAAAATGGCTGACTGGACTCCACTCTAGAAACCCTTAGTTATTGAGCAATTAAATGCAGTGCAAGAAGACTTTCTCTTTTGCCCATCCCCACCCTGACAAGCAAATCACATGCAACCTATTTAAAATCCCATGTGGGATTGGTCTCCCTCCACTGGCTGGTTTTTACCTCCACTGACTGCCTGACTTGCAAGCCTAAGAACAACCTACCTATCTGCCTTTCTCTGACTTTCTCAGTGCAGTCCATCTGCTTTTCCTCAAACTCAAATGCAAAATGCTTCTGAGATGCCTCCTCGCTTGTCTTTACAGATCCAGATGGGAACTGTGGGGGAAGTAGAACAAGGCTGGGAGAAACGGCAAAGGAAAGGAGTCATCGGCAGGAATTTCTGGGGTGTCTGTAATGTAATGCAAGCACGTAGCATCCCACAGGAAAAACACACTTCACCTTTTGCCTTGGATGCTTATTATTGGAGGCAATACCACCATTTTGGTATTGTAACTTTTACAATTTCATCTGATTTGCCACAAAAAGGGATTATAAATAGAAACAGGGCCCAACCAAACTCCTGTCCATCTGGATCACTGCTCTCTGTTTGGTTTAGTTCCAGGATTCAAACCAAAGTCTTTTCCAGCTTCATCTGGAGAGCCTATGGATTAAACCTGGGATTTTCTGCATGCAAAGATCCACTGAGATCCAACCTTTTCTGCCAGCTTTGAAACCTAAATTAGCATTTGGAAAAGAGTTGCAATGGGGAGGGTCTTCCACCTTCACAATGGGAATGGAGGGGAGTGGCCATTCTCAGCCAGATTTAGAACTCCCTTTCACACAGTGGACCCGCTCCTTTTTTCATTGCTAACAAAATGCAACTATGGCATGACTTGAACTTTATACCGTTGACATGCTCTTGGAGGTATGGATTTGCTCCTAGAACTGAAGTTTTGTATTAGGGTGCAGCTTCAGTTGAAACAAGGCCTGAAAACTTTGGAGAAAGTTCATCTTTTCTACTCATTCTGGTTGCATTGGCAACCTGAACAGCAAGCCTACTAAATTAGATATGCCCAGTTCTGAGAGGCATGTATATTAGATTTCTTTCTTCTTTTTCATTGGGTAACATCTGGAATCTAAACAATACTTTCCTTGGCTCAAATGTTCAAGAAAGGAAGCTGTTCAAATCTTAACAGAGTATCTGATCTCAATCATGGACAGGATGAAAGAAAGTAATTTAGATGTTCCTGATCCAGAAATTGCTAAGCACTTTGGATAGAAAGACAGCATACAATTCTAATGAATGTATAAATACATACAATCTTGGACTCCTTAAACTGAGTAACACCTCTAAAACTGCTTGATTTGGCCAGCCTTAGATTCTGATGCTCAGGTAACGTGAAAGAAATTGGGTATCTTCACAATATTTTGGGTCCCAATATCTTTTAGATTGCCTGATTTCTTACCTAAAGAAAAACAGAACTGTTGCAATTGTGAATGCATTATCCTTAAGGATTATTGCTTTTATTTTGATGGCATTGTCTGAGCTTGAGAGCTGAGCTGGGTTTGGTCTAGTTAAGACATGGATGTTAGGGAATATCATTGCTGTAGTCTCAGCTGGAAAGTTGAAAAAGATCGTGGCAGAAATCCATGACCGTGAAGGCATCAGGAGCCATGCTGGAGTCAAAGATTATTATGTTTCTAAGGTCTTTACAGGACATGGACAGGATACACGAAGGGTTAAAAATCCTTCAATTAATCTCTTCTGGCTTAGCAGTAAGAATAGGCAGAATAACCCTGGATTAAATGCATCCTAGGTAACCACTGAATATGATTAGGCTGAGCTGAGAGGAGAGGAATTGGATTATATTGAATTAAATGTAAATTGAATGAAGTCAAATTTACATGAATCCTTGGAATTTGCTCCCACACACATGCTCATTGCCAATTGTCTGCTCATTTCAAATAAACATGGACCTCCCTGCAATTAAAAAAAAAAACCCATTGCCTAACACCAAGTATAAAAACATTCAGACATTAAATACTGAAATATCCAAATTGAAATTTGACCTTTTGCAACTGACAGTTAACCCTTAAATCATTTTGTGAGATTCTGTTTGAGAGGCTTTTCCTTGTGATTATGTTAATTTCTAATTTTATGAAGTTATTTTTTTCTTCAGGTCTCATGGACTGTGAGAACGGGACAGATATTGAAGAGTTTGTTCTTCTGGGGTTTTCCTCCAAGCCTGAACACCAACCTCTTTTTTTCCTCCTTTTTCTGCTGATGTACAGTGCTGGACTTCTGGGCAATACCATGATGCTCCTTCTCATCACCTTGGATGTGCAACTCCAGACCCCCATGTATTTCCTGCTCCGTAGCCTCTCAGTCATTGATCTTGGCTTCATCTCAGTCACAGTGCCCCAAATGTTGGTTCATATCGTATCTGCTTCCAGGACCATCCCCTTCTACTCCTGCATGGCTCAGTTTTTCTTCTTCTATGTTTTTGGTGTCACGGATCTCCTTCTAGTGAGCGTCATGGCCCTGGATCGTTATGTAGCCATTTGTAATCCTCTCCACTATGCGTCAGTGATGAACCAAAAGGTTTGTGGGCAATTAGTGGCTGGTTGTTGCATCATTTCCACCTTACACTCCATGCTGCATGCTGGCCTACTCTTGCGTCTCACGTATCGAGGGAAAAATCACCTGCCCCACTACTTTTGTGATCATCAGCCCTTGCTGCAGCTGTCCTGCTCAGACATCAGTGTCAATGAGGCGGTCATCTTCTTTGAAGGTGTCATCATCATCCTTGGACCTTTTGTTTTCATCATTCTCACCTACATTCGCATTGTGGCAACTATCATGAAATTCACTTCTTTAGGGAGGCGCAAAGCTTTTTCTACCTGTGGGTCTCACCTCACTATAGTGATTCTCTTTTATGGGGCCATCATTGCTGTCTATTTCTTGCCCACCTCGAGCTATTCCTCACAGCGAGGGTCATTTTTTGCTCTTGTGTACACAGTCATCACCCCAATGTCCAACCCCTATATTTACAGTCTCAGGAATAAAGAAGTGAAAGATGCTCTGAGAAAACTCTTGGGACGAAGATCCCTATTTTCTCAAAACTGATAGTGAAAGCTTGGCTCTATCATAGAGCTTCCTTCTAGTTAGCTTGAGGTGAGAGTACAGGTAGTCCTTGACTTATGACCATTCATTCAGCAACCATTTGAAGTTACAATGGTGCTGAATGAAGGGATTTGCAACCAGTCCCCAAAGTTACGGCCGTTGCAGTGCCCCCGCAGTCACGTTATCGTGATCTGGGTGCTTGGCAACCCATTTTCATTTATGACTGCCAAGCTTCCCACAATCATGTGATCGCCATTTGCAACCTTCCTTGCTGGCTTCCCTAGAAGGTTGCAAGTCGCTGGGGTAAGTCTCCTGCACTTGCGAGCCTCTCCAGCCCCTCTGCGCTTGCATCAGACACTTGTGCAGCCCCACACACCCTCTCCAACCCGTGCAGCACCTCTCACACATTGCAGCACACACTTCCCAACCCACACCACACCACACCACACCACATGCACCCTTCCTGACCTTCACAGTGACTCTCATGAACCCCCTTGTACCCTTGCACACCCCCTCACTCCCTCCTCCACCCAGCAGTAGCCACTTACTGGCTGGTGACCTGGGACTTGCAACTTCCTGCTGGTTTCCCCACTGACTTTGGTTGTGGGAAGCCAGCAGGAAGTTGCCTCACTTAATGACCCATGACCCTCGCTTAACAATAGCAACCAGGACTGCAGTGATTGCCATCACTAAGCGATGCCGTCGTGTTTTATGACTGTATCATTTAGCAATGGAAATTCCAGTCCCAATTGTCATTGTAAGTCGAGGGCTACCTGTAAAAGAAGGGCTGCCCATGTATCTTGTTGATGGAACATATTGTTCTTATGCAAATAGTCTTGGATTTATTGCAGGTAGTCCTTAACTTATGGCCACAGGTGGGACCAGAATTTCCATCGCTAAGCGATGGGTGGTAAAGCAAGACATCACATGACTGCTTCGCTTAGTGACCACAATCTTGGCAGTCCCGGTTGCCATCATTAACCGAGAAGTGTACCCCCCCC